CCACCCAGTATATACAAAGAGTGGATAAGAAAGGGTTTGGTTTGGCTCTATTTTCTCTTCAGGACTCTTATCTGTGCACTTCTGAATGTGCAGAAAGAAGTCACCATATTCTTAAGCATGTGTTTTGAGAGTGTTTGAAACAATTAGAGAATAAGGTTGCATATTCTGCTTATAAATTTGCTTAGTCTTTAAATTTCTACTTTGAGATACTACCCTAATTTACAGGTACTTGTTCAGACTTTGAGAATTAACTTTCAAGGTCTATTAAACATGACACCTATTTGACAGAAAGGAAATGAGGCTTGTTCTCAGCTTTAGAATTAGGGCAAAGCATTAAAAACATGTACTGTTTTTGCCCTGACCAGTGTGGCTCTGCTGGTTGGAGCATCATCCCGTAAACTGAAGGATCGTGGGTTCAGTCCCTGGTTAGGGCACATGTGTAGGTTGTGGGTTCAGCCGCTGATTGGGGTGTGTATGAAAGAAACCCGATTGATATTCTTCGCATCTATGTTGCTATTCCTCTCCCTCCTTTACCCTCTTTCTAAAATCAGTGAGCATGTCTCTGGGTGATTTAGAAAAAGTGGTATTTCTGATTTATTTTGATTATGGTTTTTGTATTTCTTAGTGATTCAGTTTTTAAACTACCTCATTTTTATCTACTTAATTCTTTATTTTTTTATACTTGAATTTTAATATTTATTGTACTTTCTTCTCATTACCATTTAGTCCCCTTATACCCACTCCCCCCAGCAATCACCACACTGTTGTCCTTGTTCATGAGTCCTTTTTCCTTTTTGCTCTATCCCTCCACCCTCTAACCTACCCCATCCAGCTGTCATCCTGTTCTCCATCTATGAGTTTGTCCCCATTTTTCTTTTTAGTTCCATTTGTTCATTGGATTTCACATTTGAGTGAGATCACATGGTATTTACCTTTCTCTGACTGGCTTATTTCACTTAGCATAATGTCCTCCGGTCCATTCATACTGTTGCAATGGGTAAAATTTTCTATAGGGTCGAGTAGTATTCCATAGTGTAAATGGCCCATAGTTTTGTCCATTCTTTTATCCATTTATCCATCAAATATTCTACAGATATTTACATTTTAAAATTTCTATTTATATATATATATTTTTATTCAAGAGAGATTTGACAGGATTAACAACAAGTAGTTTGGAGCAAAAAATACACTACATTAGAATAATACTCTGTTTGGGAAGTAAAATGGAAATACAAGTTCATGGAGAAAAAGGAGTCACAAAAGGTTTTTGACCTAATGAATAAATACATAAATAGCTTATTCATGTGTTTTTCAAAGGGATGATGGTACCTATTAAGTCACTGTGGTATTTTGAATCTGTTGGATACATTTAAGAGAGTTGTATGTTTAAAATTATTTACTATGTTTCAAAATTATATCCTTTGCAACTATTTAAACTTAAAACAAATTTTAGTTGTCAGTTTAAAATTGTACATAGATACACAGTTTTAAAATTCTTATGAGGATCAGGCAGTGAAAGAAATTGAAGGAGACTGGTTCAGATATTACACAAAAACATGTTTAAAGGAAAAAAAGTTTGATCCCCAAATTCTCACATACCTGCCAGTAGCCTCTAGAGTGGAAGCATGGCTGACTCCCTACACCTAGGCTGCGTACTACCCCTGTGTTGGTGAATGGCCACAGTGTGGTGTCCAGTGCATGGACTGATAACCCACCAGAAATGGTATAAAGATTACTTCAAACTGAAAACGCATGCCTTTAGGTAGAGCATGCCGTCCCCTGATCTGAGAGGAGACCACTTCTTGTATTTCCATTAACCAACGTGGTTACTGGTGTCATCTAATTTTGCATACGTTAGATAAGACTTTCTCCTTGCATTCTCCAGAAGCATCTGTTACTGCCTTGCTTTTTGTCCAACCCTTCCCTCCTTCTGCCCTACTTCACCTTGAAATCATTCAGGACAGTGTTTTTCAAACTGCAGATTTCAGCCATTAGTGCGTATTAAAACCAATTCAGTGAATTTTAATCAAAAGGAATTTTTGGCAGTTAAACAAATGTGGTTTGAACATCCCAATGTCAGTGCTAGCAACCAGTGTTTTCTATATTTAAACTGCATCCCTTATATTAAGTGTCGTTTAAGCTCTGTTAAAACAAATTTTAAGAAATCTATTAATGCATATAACAACACATAAACAACCCATTACATGTTTATATAATTAACATTTGTTTTTAAAATTGATTACATTTTCCAATACAAAAAATTTTAGTGAGAAGACTGGCATTAATACTTTTACAAACTTCTTTAAGGCAGACTGCTTACTAGAAATAGATTGGATTCTTCTAGTTGTTTTGCATTCAGTCTTGTTGCAATACCACCAGGAGGCTTGCTTAGTAGGTATCTTTTTTCTCAGGGTTCACACCTTTCTGATCTCTAATTTTTTATATTCTCTTTCTAGCCTAAAACTTAACCTATTTCTTGCTTTTTTTCTGGAAAAAAAACAGCTCTTGGATTTGTTAATACTGTATGTCTTATGTCTGAACTTTAAATATGAAAATTTTTTTTTTTTTAAGATTTCATATATTTATTTTTTAGAGAGGGGAAAAGAGAGAAACATCAATGTGTGGTTGCATTTTGCACGCCCCCTGCTGGGGACCTGGCCTGCAACATAGGCAAGTGCTATACACTGGGAATTGAAGCAGTGACCCTTTGGTTCACAGGCCAGCACTCAATCCACAGAGCCACACCAGCTAGGGCTAAATATGAAAATATTTTTATCTTGCTGAGTATGCAAGTGTAATACAGACTTGTAATTGTTTTTTTCTTCTCTGTGCCTTATAAAAAGATTGTCAGACATGCAAAGAAAATTTAGTCCTGACCATTTGCACTGATTGAAATAGAATCTAGAGAAATTAAATTTTATTATAGGAACTTATACGTTCAGGTATTTAAAAAATTGTGTATTTCATTATAAAATGTTCATATCAAGAAATAACATTAGAAACTCATATCCTATATAAGAAAAAAACTCCCAGGATGAAAGAGAAACATACCCGAAAGGACTACCCAGGTGCAGTTCTAAGGGTAAATAAACCTTGTCCTTTAGGTATAGAACTTCCTGATAAAAATAATGATATAAAATTTCTAATATAAGGTCTGTGGAGTTTTCAAAATTAAGTAGTTTTGTTCTGTGAATTTCTTAATGCAAAATTTAATTTTGGTTTTTCCTAAAATTACTAACCACTAACTGCTGTTCCTGCATTGTCCTCATCTCCCATCCTGGGCTTCAGGTTTCCTGGGGACTCCCAAAACACTTGATAGCTCTCAGTAATACCAGATGCCTCTCTCAAAGCTCTTGTCTGCTCCACTGAGCTGAGACCACGGCATAGATGCAGATGCCCTCCTTTGCTGTCCTTATTGTCCACTGCCTGAGAGTGCTGGGTGCTCAGTAATGACTGTTGAATAAATCAGGTGAATGAATGAGTGAATTATATTATCATATATGCATGTTTGTCATCAGTTTCATTGGGGCATTATTTACATGTATTAAGGTATACCAATGTACACAACTGTATAACCACAATCAAGAGGAGAAAAAGTATTTCATCACTCCAAAAGTTCCCTGTGCCGCTTGCAACCTCCTCCCTCTAACCCCAGCCTCCGACAACCACTCCTCTGTTTTTCTCTCTATACAGTTCTGCTTTTTCTAGAATTTTAGATAAATAGAATCATATAGTACATAGTATTTGGTGTTTTCTTATTTAATTTAGCATAATGCTTTTGGATTCATCTGCATGTTTTTAAAACCACTTTAAATTTTTTTTTTAAATAGTCCAGATATAAATAACTAGCCCCACTAAGGTTTTATTTGTTATGGTAAGTTTGAATAGTGCTCTGAAGGGTCAAGGGAGGTCCCAAAATCATTTCAGAGTGTCCATAAGGTCAAAATGATTTTCATAATGACACTGAGAGGTTATTTGCCTTTTTCACTGTCATGGAGTACTGCTATAGAGTTTCCCATATACTACATGATGTGTGGTGTTGCAACAAGATTGACTGTAAAGATAGCTAGAAGAATCCAGTCTATCTTGTAGTAAGCAGTCTGCCTTAAATAAGTTTGTAAAAATATTAACGCCAGTCTTCTCACCGAAACTTTTTGTATTGGAAAATATCACTTTTTAAAACAAATGTTCATTATAAAAACATGTAATGGGTTGTTTATGTGTTGTTATATGCATTAATAGATGTGTTTAAAATTTCTTTGTTTTAACTTCTCATATGACAAGTAGTAATACAAAGGTGTTCAATTTTTTATTTGTAGAGAGGCTCTTAGTTTAAGAAGTTTTAGAATCTCTGGGCCAGGAACATTTTTGAAAGGGATCAGGAACAGCATGAACACCTGTTGGAGCTGGTTAGCGATTAGAAAGGGATCTTGAGACCTTGAGATGATGACCTGGCCTGAGGTGCCTGGAGGAAGGGCCTCCATTGAGTGGTGTCAGAATGGATGAGGGCAGAAATGTAAGGACAGGCAGTGAAGGCAACAGCCCCCTGTGCCTTCCCAGGACATTGCTGGGCAGGTTCTGTTGATGTATGTATTTCCTACAAGGTGGCTAATTTGCAGGAGGGTGATCACAAGGCCTAGAGGCAGCCAGTGTCTTCTGATATGAAGTTACAGACATGGTCTGATAATAGGTTGAGCACTTTCTGAAGATCTGATGTCAGTGCTGTATTCTGATCCCAGGGCTAGCATAGAAAATTGTGAGAAGTGTTTCTTTGCCTTTCAGGGGAAAAAAGTTTTATAGTAGTATTCTAAGATCAAATTAAAAGATTACCTAAAATAATTATTTTAACAAAAGTAGGTAGGAAGATGTTCTTATTATTTATTGTCAGTATTCTTGCAGGAAAAGATACTTGTAGATCTCAGTGATTTTGATAATGCTGTTAATAAACTAGCAAAATTGCACTTACTGCCTTTGACTTGTTAATTGCTTTTCTCTTGCAGGCGAAAGGGAATGTGGTTTCGACTGAGGAAGATACTTTTTTGTGTTTTGGGGTTGTATGTTGCCCTTCCATTTCTCATCAAATTATGTCCTGGGATACAGGCCAAACTGATTTTCTTAAATTTTGGTAAGTGCCATGTGTCTGTTTTTTCTTTAATAAGAGTTTATTTTCATGATGGTTTACACAGGGTGGGGCAAAAGTAGATTTACAGTTCTTATGGAAAATAATACAATAATTAATAATACAAGAATAAACTCTTGTGTTTCACACACTTACAACTGTAAACCTACTTTTTCTCCACCCCATATTTATATATCCACCACCCAGATCAAAAGATAGAACATATCTATTACCCATAAAGTTCCTTTGTGCCCCTTCCCAGTAAAAGGCTGTAAGGAGTGCATTGCTCTCTATGACTGGCATTTGTATACACAGATGACTATTGCATGGTTGGGGCAAGGGAGGGGTCTTTCTTTAGCGAGGTGGGTAAAAATTTTTAACTTGCTTTGTCACTTGTGTAGAAGATTAACTTTCCTTGGAAAAGATGACCACTTTAAAAAATAATAGGCCTTTTTTCTTTTAAAAAAATTAGATTTTTTTTTTTCACTTAAAGACTGACATACTTAGGGTTCTATGGCATTATATGCTGGCCTTATGGGTGTTCTAGTCTCCTTGAGCTATCTTAGACCTTGTGTGTTCAAAAGGTGTTTGTTTTTCTTTTCTTTGTTTCCCATGCTATATATTTACTTTTTTGCAAGTGGGAAGAGAAAGGTGCAGAAGTATGAAGCATATGGAATAGAATGTATATGATTGCTGGCACTAATCCTTTTAAGGAGCACGATTTTATACCTACCAAATGAGGCTAGGAGGGCAGGGACTATTTGTGTTGGTGTTAGAAGTTTGAGGATAGAACATGGTGTTCCATAAATGATGGCCTTCAAATTGGGTATGGATTGCATTTGAACCAGATGACGTGGTCTCTGCATGCTCTTTTGTTGTGTTGGCTTGCAAAGAATAGATTTGAACCTTTTGTATTTAGGAGCTAGAGATTAGGGAAATTGAGGATGATGACTGTGGAGGCAGCCGGGGAGCTGAGAGAGGAGGAAGGAGGAAGAGCCTGAGGATCAGGGAGAGGATTGACAGATGTTGAGATGGTCTGTGTGTGATTGGCCTGGTCCATGCTAGGAGAGGGGTGGCTGGCACTGAGGACAAGTCACAGGGTTCCAGAACCCCTTGCCTGTAGTAACACAAGTGCTCCCAGCTCTGCAGGTGTCTGGATATACAAGTCTGGATACTGATAGAAACTTGGAAGTCGCCGGCCAAAAGGGAATTTCTGCTCAAAAGAGGAACAGTAGAAGAAGGAACAGAAATAGTAAGATCAATATTTAATACTTCAAAAATCTAAAATAGCTTTTTTATTTGATTAAAATAACTATAACTTTCTTGCCCCCTGGTCATCTTGGAGGCTGCTTTTGGTTGAGGGATACCGCACATCTAAGACAGGAAGATGGTAGCCACAAAAAAGATGAAATAATCGCTGCAGTCGATATCTAGGCTCCAACTTATTAGAGAAAGTGTAAAGTACCTGCTGGGATACAAGCATACTCTGAAAATGATCAGAGAAGGCTAAGAAAAACTGGTCATTCTCTCCAACAACTGGCCAGGCTTGAGGAAATCTAAAAAAGGGTACTACACCATTTTGGCTAAAACTGTTGTCCATCACTGCTATGGCAATGATATTAAAATGGACATAGGGTGTGCAAAATACTCAGAGTGTGCACACTGGCTATTATTCATCCAGGTGATTCTGATAGCATTAGATGCTGCCAGCCTGGCGAACTAAAAGGTCGCTGGTTCAATTCCCAGTCAGGGCACATGCCTGAGTTGTGGGCCAGGTCCCCAGTTGGGGGCACATGAAAAGCAACTGATCCATGTTTTTCTCACACATTGATGTTTCTCTCCTTCTCTTTCTCCCTCCCTTCCCCACTCTGTAAAAATAAATATATAACATATTTTTAAAAAAGAAGCAGCAGCATGGCAGAACAGACTGGTAGAAAGTAAATCATGCAAATTCTTTTAAATAAAACTAGTGAGAATTTGATTTTTCTAGCAGAAACATAGCAGAACTTCTAGGAATTTATCATCTCTAAGTTTTTGTCACTTGTGAGAAGCCCAAATTTAAAAGGAACTAACAACACACTAAAAATCAAAGGACTTAGGTTTTTCTGACCTTAATGTCCTTTAAATGTCCACAGTCCATCCAGCACACTAGAGTTTGAGTTTACATATAACCACAAAACTACAGGGCTGTAGATTTCCTGACAGCACACCTCAGAATTGACCCAACATGCCTTTTCCAACTTTGCTGGCTTCCAGGTACCTTGGGCTGGTGCTTTTGTCGCAGCAGATTTGTATGCCATACTGCTTTCTGGATCCTACCACATAGTGGGGCCCCAGCAAATACATGAATTGAATTTATTTTATTCAGATCAATTATTTGGGCTACTTTAGACACAGCCCACAGATTTTGCTGTGTTGGTTTCCTAATGAAATTGAAGTATGTTCTGAAGGAGCAGAACCTTGGATTCTCCTATTCCAGCCCCCACAGCACAGAAGAGGAGAGCTATGGCTGGGACAGTGGGACTGCCCTGTATGCCCCAGGGAGATGCCTGTCCCTAATTCTTTCTTCCATGTGTCTGCTACATGAGAGTGGGATCATTTACAATGGCGATTTTAATGGAGACTTTTAGTTAGTTGTCTGTGCCCTCTTCCCCTGCAGAGGAGGTGAGAGTCACTAACACTGCCCTGTAGTGACTTGGCTGTTTCACCTCATGCTGCTGGGGAGTCCCCTCCATTCTTGTTTCCTCAAAATGTGAATCATGAGCCTGTGGATTTCCATTTGGATATCAAAGGAAGTGTAACAATCTTTCTGGCCTCAAACTATGATTAAAGAATACAATTAAATCTCAGTCCTTGGATGTCTCCCATCTCAAACAATGCGGTTCTCAACCAAGTTGTTCACAGAAAAAAAATATCTGAGTTGTTGAACAAAACATTGTTTTTTGACCCAACAACTCTTTCATGCTGATCCGTATGATTAATCACAAGTCTCTCAGTCAACAAAGGAGAGAATGTGCGAGTATGAATGTGATTTAGTTTTCAAACAAACCCGTTCTCAAACACCCTTTCAGAATGAATTAAGTTTGAGAACTGAGGTTCCACTGTATATTCTTAAGTTCACAGTAAATATATCTGAAACCAAATTTATAAATTAGAAAAATAAGTTTTAGAAGAAGCTTAACACCTATGATTTAAGGCATTATTCTTCTTTAAATATATTTGCACAAGCAAAAATATATGATCATTCCAAAATCAAACAAAAGATTAATCCCTGAATAGCAATGAATAAGAAAATGAAAATCACTCTGAAGAAATTATTAACATTGTCATTTAGTTCCTGCTGGTCCCTTGTCTGTCTTACACATAAACATAGTATGTTTCTCAATACAGCAATTTTTTTGGTTTGGATCTAGAACTGTCTCCTGGTAAAAAGGAATGTTTTGGTTCAGTGGCCTGCACAGAACTACTTCCCTCTGCACATTGCCTTTGGCCTTTTTTGGAAATAGGGAAGACATATTGATTATGTATTTGGTTTTAAAGCAAAAAACCAGCCAATTCACTTCAGCAGTCACTGGGACAACAATCCTTAAGCCTCTTACTTCCTCATAGTGGTCCTTGTTAACCTCTGATAGCTCTTTTTTTTTTTTTCCTATTCCTTTTCTTCTTATGGAAGCCCCTACAGCTTGTGTCAAGGAGTTGGAATGTGATAAAACCCAGAGAGCCCTCCTAACCCTCCCCTTGTGGGCTCTGCACATCATTCAGTGTTTCAGGGTTGCTCCTTGCTCAGTAAGTAAGATGAGCTATAGCAGATATTTAAAATCTTCAGGCAGTCAGAAACGTCCTTTGTAACTAAGTAGTTCCAGTCTCTTACCTTATCAGATATTTTCCAGATTTGTTTTTTTTAAAAAAAGAGGAAGACAGAGTAGGGACTTTTCCCTTCATTCATGTATTGATTCAGTGGTTATTCATTGAGAACCATTCGTGTAGGGTCCTTTCTAAATCATGCCTATTGATAGTTGTCATTGCTAGTAGTTGGTGGATGTGGCCAAAGAGTGGATAGTGCAAAAACAACAGGGAGGAGGAAAAACGTGGGTCCCAGTGGCTGGATCGGCCTTGCTGGCTCACTGGCACAGGGGCCTGTGTATTGGGTTCCTGGGCCATGAAGTGAAGTTCTGTGTGAGGTGGGACTTGTAACTCCTAATGGGCTGCCTCACCTGTAGGCCCTGTGTTCTGTCCTTGCTCCAACCCTGTGTGTAATGCAGGGGCCCAAAGGGTGGGCTCCAGCCAGCATCTTGGAGTCACTGGGGCCAAGGTAGATATATGATCACACTGGCCCAGGGCATACCTGTTACTCATGAGCAGGAGTGAGCTGCGTTTTTGCCCAGGTAGATCCTGTGACCCTTCTCACACCAGCCCGAGCACCCTTTTCCCCTTAACCCCATTCCTTTGCCCTGTGGCATTTCTGTTCACTTAGACCAGTGATGGTCATGTGGTTCCTCTAGCCACTTCTCTCTAGGGCTTTCTGTTCCCCAGGAGTGACCAGGGCCCTCCCATTGGGTGGAGGGAAGATGCATGGACAGCATTTGCTGCACTTGGTACATTCTCTGCTTCCTTCTTTACAATTGTTACTTAAAAAATAAATAAATAAAAGTGAACTGGAAGAAGACAAGCTTCGTGGAATGAGTCTGTTCTAGAGTAGAATCTGGTTCCTCAATTCCTAGATTTCTGGGGTTTGAATGCTTTCAGGATTAGCTGCAAATCTTTGTAAATACTTTTCATGGGGACAGTCCTGAGCTATGGGGTGGTGTGTACATAGCTTGGCTGCCTTCTGTCCAGACACAGAGCCAATCAAGGCCTGGAAGCTGAGCCAACAGAAACAGAGTGCCCTCAGCTCTTGATGACACCCACTTTCTGTTTGGTGCTGGGGCTGTGAATAAGTAATTCCACCTTAGGAGCAGAATTGATTAAGTGGGTCTGGGTGTGGAGTTGACAGTGGGCATGAGGTTTGGATACTCAGAGTTTTATTGAAGAAGTCATTTCACCTCACAGTTGTCACATGAGGAACTGTCATATCCAGCTGCAGCCTTCAGCTTCCACAGCTTAGAACAAAGTCCCAAAATGGAGATGACAGGAGTAGGTGTCTACATCTGGAACAGTGTGAGAAACAGAAATCCTTCACCAGCTTTTCCTCTTGTCAGGATCCTTCTCTTGAGTCCCATTGCCAGAGTAAAATCTGAACTCCACAACATGTCTGCATTTGTACCCAGGTTGTTGTAACCAATACCACAGATTTGTAGGTGGGCTTAAAACAGTAGAAATTTACTGTCTCCCAGGTCCGGAGGCTGGAAGTCTGAAAGCAGAGTGTTGACAGTGCCATGGTCACTGAGACTGGGTGGAGTTCTTCCTTGCCTCTTCCCAGCTTCTGGTGGCGGCCAGCAGTTCATGGTGTTCCTTGGTTTGTAGCTGCATCACTCCAGTCTCAGCCTCCCTTGTTACATGACTGCCTTCTCCCTGTCTTTATATATCTTTTTCTGACCTTGTCTCTCTCTGTTTCCCAGTTTTCCCTTTTAATAAGGACAGCAGTCATACTGGATCAGGATCTACCTAACAAGCTTGATTTCTTCTGCAAAGACCCTACTTCCAAATAAGGTCACATTCTGAGCACTTCAGAGTATCCTTTTGGGGGAGGGGGCACGAGTCAACCCATAACAGGGCACTTGGAGCCAGTGAGGGTTAGAACCAGTTTTCCTTTCTTTCTTCCTGTCCAAGTAGTCAATAGTGTGGGCTGTGGTATTGGGCTGCCTGGATGTAAATCCTAGTTCTGTCCTGTGTGAGTTGGTAACTTAACAAGAGATATAAAACTGCAGTAGCACTGGCCTATTTCAGGGTGGTGTGCAGATTACAAGAGGCGCTGTGGTGAGAGCACAAACAACATGGTGCTGGCATAGTGGAAGCATCAGGAAATGTGATGCCATTTTTCTTTTGAGAAGAAGTAATTAAAAGTTTATAAAAATTTAGCCTGCTTCTTGAGGAAGCTATAGATTAAGAAGCTGGAGGTACAAAAAGCAGCCCTATTGGGAGGATTTGTCTCACTGCATGGCCTGAAATGTTCACTCAGGGAATTTCTGAGGAAAGAGCATGTGTATATCCCCCTACCCTCAGGAGCTGGGTACTTCATTTCTTCAGCAAATGTGTACTGATCCACAATGACATTTTAGGAAGTGAGAGCTAGATGTGCAGATATGTGGTGGGAGAACTTTCAGGCAAAGGGGACAGACAGCAAATACAAAGGCCCTGGACCAGGAGGTTGATGAGTATAGCTCAGGAAGGGGACACAGGGCCAGGAGATGAGCACATTTGGCTTTTACACCAAGTGGATGTGTGAGGTTATTTAACGAAACTAATCTCTTCAGCAAAGGAAATTAAAGATGTGTATGACTTCCTTACAGAAGGTGGGATCAGCTAGAAGTCAGGACCATACTGCTCTTTGTCACTTGCCTGCTTTAGGAGGTGCCAGTTTATAAAGTGAGTCAGTCCCACCTCGAGGCTTTGGGTACTGTTTTTTTTATTTTTAAATTTTTTAGTTTTTAACTGAATATATCTTCAAATATGTTTGCCACAAGTAATAAAAGTACAAATATAACGGAAAAATTAAGCATCACACACACACACACACCTTTGTTAACAGCCTGGCATGTGTTTTTATGTATTTCTTTCCAGCCACACATGGGTGTTGTTGATGTTGATGTTGTTTGCTTCTTTTTCAATAACAGTATGGGATTGTGCAGCATACACTGTGATTTTATTGCTTCTTCCCTGCTCTTCTCACTTACCTGTAATCTTCCAGTCGGTGGATCTGATTAATTTCTGTCTAATGGCTCCAAGGTTTCCATAGTGTGGGTGTACCGCAGAATCTGGCTCTATTGGCAGATCACTTTATACATTTAGGGCTCCTGCTCTGTTGCCCACCTGACAGCACTCAACACTGCATGGGTTCTGTGGATTCATCCACTTCCCTGCCCCCACACCTCATCTTCTGCAATTTTTTTCTGTGGTAAATGACAGCACTAGAAACTTCAGAATCCTATTTAACTGGTTCACATCCACGTTCATTTGGCTGAGTCCTGTAGCCCCAGCTCCAGGACAACATCCATCACCTTTCCCACTATCCCTCCCACCAACACCCTGGCTCCAGCTTTCAGTTGCAGGTCTCTCAGAGATCTTGCTTTCCTCATATGTATCTTCCCACACCTTGAACAATCTTCACTGTGTCTGTCTCTAATCAGACCTTTTTTGTGCTGGAGGTTCTGTAGATTCACACTCACAGTGTCCCAGAGATGGCCCACCCACAACCCTCTCTGAGGTCAGAGGTCCCAGTGCGCCTTGCAGCATTGTGTTAGAAAAGCCTTGGCACTTTTTTTGAGAGCTTTACCTCTGCTGTAGCATGTGTGTCCACCCCTACTAATCCTGATTTCCATCTCTTTGTCCCTTACAGTGAGGGTTCCCTATTTCATTGACTTGAAAAAACCACAGGATCAAGGTTTGAATCACACCTGGAATTACTACCTCCAGCCAGAGGAAGACGTGACCATTGGAGTCTGGTGAGTGTCTGGGCAAGTGGCTACAGGGTTGAGGCACTCAGTCTGTGGACTGTCTAGGAGGCAGAGGGATCCTGCACCATGTGGCCAGTGCTGTCCTTGACAGCAGTCTCTGAAAGTGTTGCATGCCCATTTTTATCTTCACCCTGTTTATTCCCAAAGCAAAAAGCTCTGCTAAATTTGATCCTCATGGAGCACTAAACTATTCTGTTTTCAAACAGCTTTGCGAACCAGATTGCTTTTTGCAGAGAGCCTTATTTCCAGGAGAAAAGAAAACACTAGAAACAAAGAAAATATGAACATAGAATTGTGAGTGCATGTTTGAGATGCACTGTTTCTTTCCAGATAAAGGGATGTCTCCGTACTGAAAATGGCTTGATTTCTTTACATATTCGGCACTGTGATAGTTGGTAATGGTGGTTTTTGCTATCTTCTTAGTATTTACTTTTTGTAGCCATAAATTTGAATTGGACTTAAGCTATATGAATTCTTTGTCCTTAGCATATATTTTAATGTTTTATTTCCTGTGGATAAGTGGGTATTTTTGAACAACTAAATTAAAATTGACCAACCTTTTTGTGGTGTCCCTTATTCTAGTTGGGTTTCTTTTTCAGTAGCCACAAAGTGTCTCCCTGCTGTCTCAGAAAACCACTGTGTATGTGAGAAGCTTTTAAATGAAGTGCTGTGAATAGCTTCCCAGTGTGGATTGCAAGGAAGTTCAGACATCTGTAATAATGGTCCTGGGTAAAGAACATAAAATGAGAAGGGGAATTTTTGTTCTTAGCAGTTGGTGCTGGGACTCTCAAGTCTTTTGTCATCTCCAGTTGACCACTCTGTGCACATGGGGCACTTTGCTTTTCCATCTTCAGTCATAAGCTTGACCTGTTTTGCTTAGAACTGTTTGGTGGGAATTGGTTGGCCTTCCTTCTGGTTAATGAGAGTTTGTGCTTTGAAGACATGGGGTTTAGTCTGAACTTCCACCTATTGCAGAGGGGTGTTTGTGGTAATGATACTTCGGTTGAAAGCTCACACAGCAGCTACCCATGAAAGTTGTATTTAGTGACAATGGTGAGTCTCTAGGTAGTAACAGCCAGGCTGAGTGCTGGTGGGCACCTGCTACCTGCTTATGTCTTTGTGTCGTGCAGTTGGGAGGACAGTGTGGGCCCTTTGACAACAGAAGCCCTGTTCACCAACTGCCCTTACCAGGCTCCTCATCAGATCCTCCCACCAGCAAAGACTTGGAGGAAAGCTGAGGATGTTCTAGGCCAGCTCATTCTTAGCTGCCTGTCTGTGGGCATAGTATTCATCTGGCAGGAAGGAGGACAGCTCCAGGAATAGCTCTTCTTTTCTCTGGCTGGGAGATTCCTGGGATTCTGTCAGGAGTCCCAAGTTTGGAGTCGGCTGGCTCCTAGGAGTACATCAGTCTCCAGCAACTTTAAAATATACTTTTCTCCCCATAGCTGGTGTGACTCAGTGGACTGAGCACCAGATTGTGAACCAAAGGGTCGCTGGTTCGATTTCCAGTGTAGGGCACATGCCTGGGTTGCAGGCCAGGTCCCGAGAAGGGGGCGTGCAAGATGCAATCACACATAGATGTTTCTCTCCCTCTCTTTCTCCCTCCCTTCCTTTCTCAATCAATCAATCAATCTATCTATCTATCTTTAAAAAAAAAAGAAAAAGATGTTTCTTTCAAAACAAAAAAGCTATTCAAAATCCTTTTAAAAAAAAATAAAATATACCTTTCTATCCCATAGGTTTATAATTGTAGGAGAGTGATAATTGCAGTCGTCAGAACTCCCTAAAATGTGATCTCTGGTACAGGTCAAAAGATACATTAGAAATGAGATGCTGAAACTTAAGAGATAGAAAATAAGAAATTGACCATTTACTACAGTATTTTTAAAGATTCTTACTAATTAATTTAAATAAGCTTTACAGAAAAACCTTATTAATTCAGACTTTTTCCAATGATTAACAGTATTTGACATGGTCTGAGTCAAGATTAACTGGAGCGTTTCTTTGAAGGAGGGTTTGGCCAGATTGACTGAGTGTCTGAGAGCCTGGCCAGGTGTGGAATGAGTTGGCTACTGCATGTAAACTCACCCATGCAGTGGAGTGGCCTGCAACACCTCCTCCTGCAGACATAGGTCTGCTCTCAGACTACTTGAGAGCAGGCTCTGGAATGTGCCATACATTACAAATGGTTCTTTAAGGATGACCAGGCTTCTAGTGCAACTCACAAAGATTAGTGTTGGCTGAATTAGCACATGTGACAACATGATGATACTATCTCAAATACACTGTGAGTTAAATTGTATACAGCTTAAAAATATGGATACTTATGAAAGGAAAGGCTTTTGTTTAGCAAATATTTATTAAGTGCTCATTCTGTGCTAGTGCCATGTGACCTATCCAGGTGGCATCTTCCTCACTGAACTTCCAGTTCCTATTGGAGAAACAGCATACCCCACACCCCTGGTAATTCCTACCAGCATGAGCCTGTGTGGCCCAGTGGAGGTCCATTTGTAAGTCAGGAAATCTCCTATTTAAGCTGTCAAAAGCTATCCCTGCCCCTTAGAGTTCTGCATTCAGTAGTTATTCATCCTGGTGACAGGGACAGGCTAGTTTGCTTCTTCAGCCCACTGGTCCCCTGCTGTCTGCTCTACTGTGACTTGAGCTATACAGTTGTTCCTTCAGCAGTCATCATTATCTAATTTTGCTGTTCCCCTCTGCTTCTGTTTCCAGGCACACTGTTCCCGCTGTCTGGTGGAAGACCGCCCAGGGGAAGGACCAGATGTGGTATGAAGATGCCTTGGCTTCCAGTTACCCTATAATCCTGTATCTGCACGGGAATGCAGGCACCCGGTGAGGAGAAGAGCCCACACATGTGTTCTCCCTATAGTGCTGGCAGTTGAGTTTACTGATCCACTACAGTGATGGAGCAGGAACACAGGGGAACTGAGGAAAAGACAGAGTTCCTATGGGATTTGCCAGACCAGGGGAGAGGGAGGTCTAGGTGAAACTTACATGATATAGCATTCCCACAGGCTCAGAACAAGGCAGGGCTGTGTGCCAAGTGGGCCAAGACCCTGTTTCCTTGGGAACCACTATGTTAAGAAGATGTGGGAAGCTCTGATCAGAAACCTTTTATCTGAAGCTCATACTGATGGGGGTGGGATGGAGAATCTCTGCATCTCTTTCAGAGTGACACAGACCCTTGGCCAGAGGGAGATGTGTCCTTTTTCCTAATGTAATTTAAAGGAAAAACTGCCTGAGGGCCCTTGATTTAAGGAACAAGATTTCTCAGTGGATAAGGAAGCAGTGGTCCCTCAGAGGAGTAAGAAGGGACGGTGTGACTCTTCAGGGCCCCAGCATGCCCTGAGGAAAGTTGCCTCATGTTCTATAGCAGCATCTGTCAGCCTGTTTGAAGACAGCAGGCAGGTTGGCACTTTCTTGCTGACAGGCATGCCGTGCTGGAGGAGGAAGAATACTTCCTAGAAAGGGCAGCACGTGCTGAGAAGAGGCAGGGTCAGCATTGAAGGAGAGATAGCTAAAGACAAGGGGAGTCCTGCAAAGAGACCCCCGCTGAGCGTGAACAGACAGGTTCATCCTCTGAGGTGGCCCCACCATGCTGTTAGGTCAGGGTTACTTTCATGAGTACTCTGCCTCCAGCTGCAAGCCAGCAGTGCCAGTGTATCTTGCTGGGCCATTGATGAAACATAACTGTCTGTGGCAGGTAAGCCCTTGTCCAGGTTTATCCCAGGTGTTTTTCAAGAGTGACTTTGATGATACATTCTTCAGATTATCAGGATTGGAGCTACCACTGTCCATGGTTTAAAGGAGGCTGCTTCCACCCCATATGGTCAGTCTTGCTCAGAAGAGTCTCTGTGGGAGAGCTGGTGGGGTGAAGAAGAGGTGCATTTTCTGAACAAAGCATTGCCTGAAACCGCCAGGAGGGCACTGTTACTGCAGCTGCCTTAGGTTGTGTGAGAGGGAGGCAGAACCACCACCTGGTGCCTTGGCTGTGGTGGCAGGCTGGGGGGTGGTCATTTTATAGGGAGAGAACCAGCAGAGAGAGCAATGCACAGAGCTTTCTGGAAGGGAAAGCAGGCCCTTCCAGTGGGTTTCTGGGCAGAGGGACTATGCATAGGACATGTAGGAAGTCCAGGAAGTGTGGCCCACAGGATGGTTTCTGAGGCAAGGGAATAGAAGTAACTTTGCTACTGAATCATGCATGCACTTGGCTATTTGTTTTCTTCTACGTCTGGGATAAGCTGCAGAGGGTTTCTTTTCTTCTTTTTAAAGAGCAAGTGGCTACAAACAGCTCTTCTGTAAATGAGAGAATTTTGTAGTTTATAGTAAGTAAGTTTCAGTGAAGCAATGCCAGTCATGTGGTAAATAAGACAAAATCTGCCTATAATTTCAGGCTTAAAGGACTAGTGTGACTTTGAAAGGTTAGCCACTCCCTCCCACTGTCCCAGAGATTGCCTGTGTTGCAGGTCTCACCGTCGTCTGCTCTTGGACCACACCCATGCCACTCTCTGAGCTTCAGACACCCCTGGCTCCTTCAGCACATGTGTTATGCCCTGAGTCTTTCTTTTTGTTCAAGGTAGGGAATTTGGGAAATTTAGATAAGAGCCACCGAGAGCTCTTCCAAAGATAACTGAAAACATTGTGCAGTATTTCCTTCTGGTCTTGAAACTCATTTCTTTCTATTTTTATTTCTGTACTATATTGATTTCCTCCCTCATCTCGTTATGTCTCTCCCAAGGACATACCCTCCCCAACATCCACATGCACATCCAAAATGGCCAAAATGCTCATGATTAAAAAGGAAAACAGCCCTGGCTAGCACGGCTCAGGGAATTGAGGGCCGGCCTGTGAACCAAAGGGTCGCCAGTTTGATTCCCAGCCAGGGCACATCCCTGGGTTGCAGGCCAGGCCCTCTCTTCCCCCAGGTTGGGGGAATGGAAGAGGCAACTGATTGATGTATCTCTCACACTTTGGTGTTTCTTTCCCTCTTTTCTCCCTCTCTTCCCCTCTCTCTAAATAAATAAAACGTTTTTTAAAAGAAGGAAAACAGCTGCAAAGTTTGGAGAAGGGTGAACACACCTGTTGACACGCTTTCCTGTCCCAAAGTGGCCCCCTTCCCATGTTGGAGTCTGTCTGTCCACAGTAACAACTGACCAGAAATTGGAAAGAAAGTAGAAAAGAATAGATAGTCCTTGGACAAAGAATATTGACATGCGTAGTTCAGATGTGTGGAAGCCTATTTTAGCCTCAGTAACAAGAGTGCCCACAAAAACATTAATCTTTGGTGAGAAGCTGGGAGATGACCATTCTCATACACTCTGGGTAAAAGGCAAGGGTCCTCTAAAGGACTCAGCAGTGATCATCAAGGTTATGATTACACGCCTTTGACTAGTAGTTTCTTGTATAGGAATATGTCCCACACATAGGGCACATGTATGTGGAAGGACATCACAGGCTGGCCATGGCAGCAAAACTTAAGTCAGCAGTAGGTGGGAAAGAGCCAAGTGACCACAAGATGAGTAAAGTGACCACCACTAAAAAGAGCCTAATGAGAGTGGGCTGTGATTTATTGAGTGAATGTGAGAGGCAGAGGAGTGTGTGGGGCAGATCCCTGTGGATATGTGTCTGCAAGTGAAAAAGTGCCTCTGCTACTGTCTGTAGTTGGTCCCTGGAAACTCGGAGGCTGAGAAAGAGGATGGATACTGGGGCAGGAGTGGGTAAGGCTTGCTATGTATCATCTTATGTCTTCTGGATTTTGTACATACCCATTACCTAGTCAAAAATAAAAGTAAGATAACAATGAACAAATACCTGAAGTACTAAGAATATCCCTCACTTGACATAGTACTGCTAGAGGAAAACTTGGAGCCACTTAGGGTATCCCAAGGAGGAGGCCACCTTCCACCATTGACCCCCTCCCCCATATGTTTTTAGAGACCAAGTCATAAGGGCCCAGAAGCTCTGGTACTGACCCTCGCCTGCCTCTTTGAGAACTTGCATTAATACTTATTCTTGTTTCCTTCTCCCTGATATTTTAGGGGAGGTGACCACCGAGTGGAGCTTTACAAGGTAGGTGAGGATGGCACAGTGTATGATGGAAAGAGCAGTATCCACATGGTCTATTATGGGTTGAGCAGTGTCAGCACAGTATATGACTGAAGAAGCAGTGTCCAGGCGGTGTATAACAGGCAGAACAGCGTCCACATGGTCTACAGTGGAGGAAGCATTGCCCAAGTGTTGCCTGTTTGTTCTTTCCAGGTAGCATGAACAGAAGGGAGTCCTCTAATAATTTTAATTGTTAATCATGGTGGTCCAGTACTGCCTCTGTGGATGACTCCACTATGGCATGCTTCCTACAATGCTGCCTGCAGGGATAGTTTCCAACGTCAGGATAAATGAACCTTGTGGAACATATTCCAGATATTGGCTGGTTACAGAAAAGCTGTTTGAAACTGTGTGTGTTACTCATATGTAAAAGGAATGGAGAGGACAGAGGAGTGAGGGGAGCTATACTTTATTCCCAAGTTGCAGGCTTAGGAATTAAGCCAGCACAGAAGTTTCTCACCTCTGTAGGAGGGGTCAGTCGCATTTAAATCAGATTTCAGGCCCACTGAGTGGAAGCCTAGCAGGTCTTCCCAGGTAAAGGGGGCTGTTGCAGGCAGGCATGTAGACCTACCCTTCTACTTGGTCTTCATCTTCATCAGGTGTTTGGGTCTAGGAGTCTGAAATGTGCAGTTGGCTACCACTGTCTGGGGCCGCTATGCGTGCCACCCTCATCCTCTCAGATGGGCAGAAAGGGACATAAGCAGATGTGTGGGAACATCTGTACCATGTGGGCTCTGTTCTCTCCATCATATACCAGGTGGACTGCCCTGGGCTGTAGCATTTGTTTCCTTGTATGGATTAGATCAAGTCAGGAAAGAGAATGATCGGAAAACTGTAGGTCCCATTTTGAGTTTTCTGTTCGTAGAATGGTTCACACCAGGAGCAGGTATGGCTCTGGAAAGCATCTGCAGGAGGTTGGGAGCTAGAAGGAAGCACTGGGGCAGCCTAAGGAGAGAGGAGCAAAGGCAGGGCAGTGACTTGGTGGCTGGCAGTTTCCACATGATTTTAGGTACACCGTAGCTACCCTGGGGGGGAGAGAGGAGAGGAAGGAGGAGGCTGTAAATAGGGATTTAATGAGAGAAATCACCTAGTCTAGAGGTTTTTTAATAACAGAAAAGATTCAATGAAAGCTTAAAATCTGAGATAAGCAAGGTTGCTAGGAGTCCCTCCTCCTGGGTTGCTGGGTAGTCAAAGCCCCCACTGTCTGCCCAACAGGGGACCAACTGTGAGCCCCTGAATGCAGTGTTGCAGGTGTGGCTCTGAGCCAAGGGAGAGGCTTGTTTCTCACATTGCTGAGGTGGAGGGCATCAGTGTATCCAGTAGCAACACTGCATTTTATAAGATCCCACTGGGAATGGGGCAACATGATGAATGAACAGTCGTTATTAAGTTTCCCCTGTACACAGAGCATAAAGACAGATATCAGGATGGGTTTAATAAGGGGCAAGCTGCCCTCTGTACAGCTGTGTGGATTTTTTGCCCAGATGTTTATTTTTCACTTTACAGGTTCTGAGTTCCCTTGGTTTCCACGTGGTCACCTTTGACTACAGAGGTGAGAGTTCTTTTGAAATTATATCTCCTGGCCCTCCCACTTCCTCCAGTTAATATTTGATGTGCAGGCATCACTTTCAGAGACTCAGACATAGCTAGCAGGTTCCTGACCTGTGGTGACTATGTGTTAAGGTTGGGGAAGGTTCTTCAACGAGTGTCCTGCATGCAGATGCCAGGGGCGTCCCTCTTGTAGGGAGGCACTGGTACTAGGAACCCCAGTACATGCTCTCTGTGAGCAACTGGAAGATTCTGTCATTTTTCTTTATTGGACTCAGGCTTTCTCTGCAGGTGGACATCATACACATTGTATGCTTAGGAGAGGTTGTCTTGTTGAAGTTATAAAAAGGACTCTTAAAAGGGAACATTCTTATTTTTGCCTCCTCAGTATTTCTTCTTTCTTGAATAAACCAGAGGGCTTGACACTGAAGAGATCAAGAACCCACAGTTTGATGTAAGCTAAGAACATTCTACCTAAATGAACCATGAAAATACTTTGTATTAATAGCAGCTGTGTGAGAAGTGTGTGCCTCACCAGTCCTCAGCTGGAGAGAGCAAATGGCTGAAGACCACTTGGCCAGCTTACCTTGACCTTCTTGAGGGCATTGTTGTTCATATCCTGAGGCCAAGGATATGGGTATTATGTTAGTTTCTTCTTGTTGCTGTAACAAATTACCACAAACTTAATGTCGTAAAATAGCACAAATTATTATTTTGCAGTTTTAGAGGTCAGAAGTCCCAAATCTTTAGCCTCTGGGCTAAAATCAAGGTGTTAGCATGGCTAGTTCCATCAGAAAGTTCTGTAGGAAAATCTGGTTTCTTGCCTTCTTCAGCTTTTCCATGCTGCCCTCATTCCTTGACTGTTGGTCTCTTGCATCTGCGTTATTCTGACCCTGACTTTTGTCCTTCTCTTTCATTGATGAAAACCCTTCTGATTACTTTTGTCCTCCACTGATAAGCCAGGATACTCTCTCAGCTCAGGGTGAGATGATTAGCAGCCTCAGTTCCTCATGTAACCTAATTCCCCTTTCTGCTGCTGGATGGCTTCAGCTCAGGGGACTGTCCCTGCCCCAGCAAGGTCTGGGACTTTTCAAGTGTCAGGAACCTCCAGGTTCTTGACTTGTGCAGGAAAAATGTCAAAACATGAGGCAGGTGAAAGTGAGAGTAAGTTTATTAAAGCTTGGGACAGTAAGACAAAAGAAGGGCCCATGGAGACAGGATCAGGGGGTGATCCAGGGATGAGCTGCTACTGCCTGTTGCTTCCCTGGATACAAATCTTGTTGGGATCCTTAGAGCTTAAGATACAAGCAAAGTACATGCCTGAGGAAAACGGGGTACAGGCATGCTCAAAGAAGAGTGTGTGCTGGTGTTACTTTCAATAGGCCAGAATTTTAGGGCCAGTCCCAGGTGAACTGAACAGAATATTCATTAGATTTCCAGGTGTGTCATTTAGTATGCTAATGTGTTAAAGTGAGTGTGTAATGGGGCCTGGTGGTTTTCTGATTAATTATACCTTTATCTTGGATTAGTCTGGCTCTATTTTGTTGTTGTTTTAATCCAGTTCCTGAAGGTGATTTAAACCAACTTCTTTTGGATTTCTTTGGTTAGGAAGGATATTGTGATTCATCTTGCTGTCTGTTAATTGCTCAGCTGTTCCACTATTTGTTCAGCCATTTGTCTTACTTTCCTCATTCCACTTGGTAAGGAATTTTCCTAGTTTCTTACTAACCTGCCTCACTTCCACATAACATATTCACAGGATTCATGGATAAGGATAAGGATATGGACCTCTTTGGGGGCCATCATTCTACCTACTACAGGAATGGTGCTTTCATGGATGATGGTTCCATCAGGTTGAAAGTTCTGGGTTGGGAAAAACTCTGAAATAAGTATCTAAAAAGTGGTTCACCCATTCATCCTTTTCTCCATGCTAAAAAGGGTTTTCTGTTCCTGCTCTACTCTGTAGCCCTCAGGATAAGGAGAAGGAACAGCCTTTTTCCTACTTTACCTCTCTGTGCTTCTACCAAGAAATGGTAACTAGTATAGCATTTCCTCTTAGCAGTTCTTATGAGTCTCTTCATTTTTAAGTCCTGCAAGAGAGAAAGTTCTGCTTCAAAGTGTGTCTCCCTGTCCCTGTCACTCTTTCTCTGTGTATCTTTGTTCCTACCTGTCCCTGTGTTCCTGCCTCTCACTTGTGCCCTGAGTTTCTCAGTCTGGCCTTATCTCTCTCACATGACTTCTTCCCTAATCTGTTGTCTGGGATGTCCAGCGGAGGTGGCTTATTGTGCCCACTTACTCTGTGGGTTTTTGCTTATGCAGCAGAACCTACTCATTCTGAACATTATGGTACTTTGAGATCAGTTGATGATGACTCACTGCTGAGCTGGTGGAAATGACAAGGGCACTTGACCTTTCCTGGAGACTTGTTGGAAGGGCCCTTGGGGAGAACCCAGAGTGGGGGCAGATGTCTTTGGTTTGCCTCTGTTATGCAAACAAATGCTTAGAGCCCTTGCCTCTCTGGGTCAGAGTTGCCTGGAGCCTGGAATCCTCACCCACACTGTCACTCACAGTTTCCCAGTCTTGCCTCCTGACTATTCATAGCTGGGTCAAAGCTGGGCCATAGAGTCTGGATTGGGCTCAGGGGCCCCTGGGCAGACTGAGCTCTCATTGGCCTCTTATCCTGGGACAGCCATCAGCAAGTCCCCAGTGTTGAAGAAGTTGATGTCCCAGCAGGACCTCCCCCTTCTGCACTCCTGTTTATCAGGACTCAGACAAGGGTGTGTGACAGCCTTTGGGTGAGGAGATTAGAGAAGTAGGAGCAGGCTTGTCGGAACACCCTGCATGTGGAGCTGTGGATGATGACTGTGGTGACTTGTATTGCCCCTAATGGCCTGAGCCTGTTGAGAAAGAGAGGGTGGGCCTGCCTTTCAAGAAGTTCAGTGAACTGGGCTTGACATCCTTCTTTTCTGGTTCTCTCCTCCAGGTTGGGGTGACTCAGTAGGCATACCATCAGAGCGGGGCATGACCTATGACGCACTCCATGTTTTTGACTGGATCAAAGCAAGAAGTGGAGACAACCCTGTGTATATTTGGGGCCACTCCCTAGGCACTGGGTAAGAGTTCCCAGCATGACTTGGCCTTTGAGGGTGCAGGTCTTCATGAGGTGACTTTCCAGCCTGGGCTCCCCAAGGGTGTCTGGGTGACCTGTGGATCCTGTAGCAACATTAGTTCCAACAGGCCTTGTCTCTCATCCACATGCAGGGCAGGAGATGAAGTGCCACAAGACACCACAGGGTTTGAACTACTTTAACTCCTCAACCCAAAAAATGACTTGAGATACACATGGGCAGTTGTGGGGTGGTGTCCCCCTCTTCAGTGAGGACAGGAAGACTCCCCTCAGTCTGAGGTTGTGCCCTCTGGGAGATAGAGCAGAGCAGAGGAGACCAGATGGGGTTCACGTTCAAATGTACCTGGGCTTCACATCCCCCAGTTTTGAACTGCATGTGCTGCCAGCAGTCCCCTGTGCTGTGTCTCTGATCACTGCAAACTAGGGGCATTTATAAAAACTGGGCCACATAGCCCATGCTTAGCTTACCACAGAACTTGTGGAAGGCAGCGTTACCAAGACAGGAAGTACTTGAATATTCTATTTGGGGTAGCCTAAATTGTTTCTGCTGATGTGAGGTCCAGAGTGTTTCTAAAAGGAGCCAGTGATATAAGTGCCCAGAGAGAAGCCCAAGACCTTCAGCAGCCTTGCTTTTTCCTACTGCCTTTCATTCAAGTGCAGTGGCTGCAACCCCTTTCTCAAGTTGCTGTTCACCTTGGATAGCATGCTGCCATTGGTATGTGTGCTGCTGAAGTGAGCACTGCATGCTGCAGACTGGGCATTGTCTGGGACAGGGCCTTCTAGCTTTTCGTTGTGGGGAAAATAGCCATGTGCCCTCAGAGATGTGCCCTGTGAGGAGAGAAGCAGGTCATCCTGCCATGGCTGTCTGCACAGAACCTGCCCAGTGTAGTCCTGGGACAGCAAAAGACACCCCAGACCTGTGTAGGTAGACCATATCCTCCTCTTAGCTGATGGGGCAACTGTGGTCCCCACAGTCCCTCTGTCTGTCTCAGCAGCCCACACTCGAACCAAGTGTGAGCTGAGGGACAGTGTTGTGCAGTCTGAAGGAGGCTGTTCCTGGTGAGACTGCAGAACATGGCTTGGGGACATGAAGTGTGGCTGTTATCACCTTCCTTGTCACAGAGGGTCATCCTTGTCAGATGGGTTGGCTGATGACAGGCAGCTGGGCCCACCCACAGTCCTGGAGCATTTTAGTCCCCCAACCCCCTTTCCTGCATCCCTACCAATTGCTTCACAGATCCCATGGCTCCTCTGGTCACTTTCTAATATTAGGACAGTCTCATTGTAAAACAGTTTTTGTCAAAATTCAACTGAACTGTTTTTTTCCTTTTTTTTTAGAGTGGCAACAAATCTGGTGCGGCGCCTCTGTGAGCGAGGTAGGAGTTCATGTGGCATGTGAGTCCTGATGTGTGGACACAGGCTCCTCCTGGTTCCGGGGTTCCCTCAGGGCAGGCAGAGCTTTTGGGTGCTGGCTGCATTCCGGGCCCTGTTGTGAGTTCTTGTGAAGTGGTGCTTGTCGACAAGCAACATAATGACCATGCCCAGTGTCCTCATGGAGCCCCTTGAAGGTATTGAGGCCAGTACCTGGACAGACGCTTAGCTTACCTAAGCCTATGTTCCCCCATGGATTCTTGAGCAGCTGGTGCAGTGTCACCAGTGGCTTGGCTCCAAATAAGCAGCTTTATAATAAGCCAAGGCCACCTGAAAGTCTCCCACATGGGTGCTTCTCTCATGTGGGAAGGCCTCGGGGGTACTGGCCAGGCTGGCACTCCATGTTCCACTGTTTTTGGGGAGAGGCGATCCCTCCCACGGATTCTTCATCAAGCCATGGAGCTTGTGTTTTGTCTGGGCTTCTTGCCTACCTCACAATTCTCTGCTTGTTTTACTTATCTAGAGACACCTCCAGATGCCCTTATATTGGAATCTCCATTCACTAATATCCGCGAAGAAGCCAAGAGCCACCCATTCTCAGTGGCAAGTATAGATCTTATGAAAAATTGACTTATTTCATTATTAAAGTCATGACTGTAAAATAACTACAGTAAGTATAAAATGAAACAATCAAAAATTATTTAAATGTTATAATGAATACAAATTTATTAAAAATTAATCCTTATTTAGTTTTGGGCATTGGCCTGACTCCAGAGCTGCCTAGGAAGTTTATAACTTTGTGGCCAGGTAGAACAGGTTCACAGCTGGGGTGGTAGAACCAATAGGAAGTCTTGCCCCCATGGTATGTTTTGTCTACCAGGCATTGATGTCCCGTGAGGCCCAGCCCAGGCTGGGAGTTGTTTACCCAGGGGCGAGCTGGTAGATCCCTCACCTTCCATCCCCATAGATAGTGCTCAGCAGCCAGGCTCTCACAGTTGTATCTCAGGTGACACTTGCTCCAGAAGGGCTCTCCTATGGCCCTTCTCCATTCCACTGCTTCCTAGCTGGCTCTATTTTCTGGAGGAGCTGTGTTAGCCCACCACCTGAACTCCTGCTGCTCTGTTGTACACCAAGGGTTCTCTTTAGTCTTACCTCTTTGGTGTTGCTTTTTCCCTCAAGTTGTATGGACCCGCATTTTTCTTGGCATGGCAGCCCTGATGTCTGTGGGACATATGGCCTCCAGGCTGCTGCTTTGAGATGTGGGAACCCCCTTTGCAGGCAGCCCTTGCTGCAGCCAGTCTAGGGTTCTCTCAAACAGGGAGTCTGTGGTCATGGCACAGAGGGACAGTGGCTGCAGGTCAGTTTGCTAAGAAGCAGGTATATCCCCTGGGTATTCAGTAACCTTTGAACCCTTGACCTTGGCCTTGGATATTTTAATTGACGCTTCTGTCTGCATATTGTTTCTATGTCTCCTTCAGATATATCGCTACTTCCCTGGATTTGACTGGTTCTTCCTCGATCCCATTACAAGCAGTGGAATTAAATTTGCAAATGATGAAAAGTGAGTACTGTGCTAGAGTACCTAATATTTTAATTTAGAAAAACACTGAGAACTCCCAGGATAAGCCTGTTCAGTCACATTAACCAAACAGGATGGAATACTGAATACTACAATTCTTCAACAAATGTGTCCTATAGAGGGAAAACTAGGTAGAGAGCTGCAGCCAAGAGAAAAAGGAGTATATAAAGACTAAATTTAAACATTTTGTCCATGTTTTTATGCTTTTTAATTTTCACTGAGTATATTTTCATTGATTTGGGGGTGGGGGGAAGAGACACATATACATCTATGTGAGAGAGAAATATCAATCAGTTGCCTCGCATACATACTCTGACCTGGGAGGGAACGCGCAACCTAGGTGTATGCCCTGACCCGGAATCAAACCTGCAGCCTTTTGGTACATGGGACAACACTTCAACCAGTTGAGCAACCCAACCAGGGCTGTCCACATGGTTTTTATTTGAAAATAGTTTGTCAAAACCGGAATTCCTGAATTAAAGCAGTAATCGTAACTGTTATTCAAAAAATAACATTCTCAGTCATTTGACTGATGTTGATTATGAAAAGATGTTGCAAATTTTATTATTAAAAATATTTCTTTTGGGTAAACCAAGAAAAGTAAATATCCTGGTTAATGACTCATTCTTTGAACAATGTTCATATTCTGTTGCCATTGTCTTTGAGATATCTTTATTCTGTGTGTTTTAAGTTTTTCAAAAAAGAGGAAAGGAAAAATATCCTTATTTAAATATTCAGTTAATATTTAAATATCCACATTTTGAAACTGTAGAAAAACAGAGTATTTTTTCCATCAGTTATATTTTTTGGTTCTAAAAAGAGAACAAACTAAAATTTGAGCAGCCATTATAAGCAAAATACTTGCTTGTTTGTAAATATTACTGTTTTGGAACTTAAATGAGAATAATCTGAATAAACTGGATTCCTTCTAAACAACAGCAACGAGTGTTGCCGTCCCCCCAAAGCCGCCTTTGGCCTTGTCCCCAAGCTGAGTGGTGGCAACTGTGGGGTCCAGCAGGACTTCACCACCACGTGGCTAAACCCTTATCCACTGGGATTCAGGAGCCCCCTCTTGGTGGACAGGTCTGTTATCAAATACTTGCCCAGGTGAAGCATATGAACTAGGTCTCTCCCAGAGCAGGTTAAGGTAAGACAAACCACCTACAGTGAAAAATCTGAAAAGTGGACAAAGTTTGAGACATACACCAGAAACACTCCACCCTAGAAGCAGAGTAAGGTGAGAATGTTTGTGCTTTTGTACCACTAGCAGAAATGCAGGCTGGTAGATTAGCTGGGGATCTCTGGGGTGACAAGTCCCTTGTCCCAGATTCTGCCAGCTGCTAGGTTTACCCCAGCACTGCCCTCATGGAGCCCCCAGATCAATATGGAATCATTTGGGGGCCTTGTCTACCATCTCACTGAGAGACCTCAGTGAGGCAGCAAAGAGACACTCTGCCCATTGTATGGTTTGCTGAAGGATTTGGATTGAAAGAATGTTAATTTACTGGTAAACATTCAAGAGTGACCTTAAATGTTATTTACACCAAAGATAAATTAGAGGGTATACACAATTTTACCAACAGATTACTAGTAACATTCATTTGAAGTAAGTTTCTTGGCCCAACTAAAATATTGTTTGTAAATATTGGTTTGTGACTTTAAAAAAAATATGTTTACTGGCAATTGTAATCATTTTCAATTTTCAGAAAATATGTGGGGGCCAGATTTGGTGAATGAATTGATCTCTAGATTTGATTGACACCTGCCACCTAGAATAGATGTCAATAGAAACTACTGAGAAATCAACTTTTAATTCTCTAGTAAAAGGAAGCCCAGCAGAATTGGAGGTGTTAAGCCATGGTGAAACACTCCCTAAATCCAGGTCCCTGCCAAGGGCAAGGCCAGGGTGTCAGGAGACCCCAGCCATCTCCCTGGGGTCTTGGTCCAGTCCTTTCTCCTCCCCACAGTGTGAAGCACATCTCCTGCTCCCTGCTCATCCTGCACGCTGAGGATGATCCAGTCGTGCCCTTCGAGCTTGGCAGAAAGGTGGGTGTCAGTGCAGCCCCTGGTGCAGGGGACATCTCACATGCCCACGTTCGGGCTGGACTGGGCATAGGCAGATATGCAGGAGGTGCCTGCTGCTGGCAGGGTTGTGGTGGCGATCGGCCAGCCAGCCAGTGCCAGCTACAAGAGGAAATATGAAAAATAAGTAAATGTCTCCCAGGGCCCAGTACAGGGTCCTAGCCTGACAGAGACTTGCCTATAGGAAACATCTGGGAAAACTCACTAGTTACTGGCTGGAGGATAGAATCCCTGGATGACAAGGATCCTCCAGCCCCAATTCAGGAGTTCTCATCAGTAGTGTTGACATAGAACCTCTTGTTTGTTCTCTTGCATTTGGGATTGGGTGACATCAGAGAGGTACCATCCTGTCAGGCCTCCGCGTTTGCTTTTGCTGAATATTCTTTGTCTTTTGTGCCGGAAAGTGGGATTAGATTTGTAGGTGAGCATGGAGTAGGATATAACACCATCTGGCGATGGTGATGATGAGGGGCAAAGACAGCGTAGAGGGAGTAATGCCCAGGCTACTTCTTCCTCAGAACAGGCCCAAGGTATAGGTGAGTCTGCCAGCACCAGGACTCTTCTCTCCAGCAGGTCTGGGTATATAGCCTGGCAGTCCCAGCGGTAGGAATTGGAAGGGCTGAACCAGCTTGATGACTGGTCTTAACCCTGGGCATACAGCACAGTCTGAGGCACCTGACCCATCTCATCCCTCAGGGCTGCTCCAGGCTTTTAGGCCACATCCCATAGCATGTGGCCCTTCCTGTGGTGCTACCTCATTCACCTCACTGGTCCCTAAGAAAGGGGGAATAGTATAAGAAACAGTTGTGGGAGAACAGATAGGGTTTTAAATGCCAGGCTGATGGGCTGAGCCTGGGCTGGGCTCCTGCTAACACCCCGACCCCAGCCATGGCAGGTTGCAGGGCATCAGTGCTGTTTCGGGAGTGGGGCATGGGCTTCTCTGCAGAGGTAGCAGCCACTGATGGGCCTCTGTTGAAAGGGAGGCCACCAAGCAGGTCACCCACAGGACCACCATCTCTGGGGACTGACTCATCTCTCCTTCCCCAGCTCTACAACATTGCTGCACCATCTCGAAGCTTCCGAGACTTCAAAGTTCAGTTTATCCCCTTTCACTCAGACCTTGGCTACAGGCACAAGTACATCTACAAGAGCCCTGAGCTTCCTCGGATACTGAGGTGAGGTGTTCTCTTCTCACCATGAACGTTGTCCTGCATGGCAACAGCTCAGGTCAAACGTACAGCAGGCTCATCCAGTAAAGCTGCCTCACTGGGGTTTGTGTGGCATAATTCAAGAGTCTTTTATTTCCATTTGAGGGGCTGAGAATGTTTATCCCTCCTGCCCCCTGAACTGTTCTCATGATCTCCACATGGTATAGGCTGTCCACGCCTACACAGACCACCCACACAGCAGTGCACTCAGAACACAGACATCCATGTATAGGAGCCCCCCACCCACGTGCTTCCTAACTCTTGTGCCTCAGGCCTTGATCCCTTTCCACACATCTGTCTGGTCCTGCCGCCCTCATATGCAGCTCATGGGCATTCTGGCCTGAGCCAGATTCTCAAAAACCTGTTTGTCCACAGCTGCTTCTTGGAAGGAAGCTGTGTCCCTTGCTATGAGTTCACATCTGTGGGGCTGCTCAGATCAGCCCTCAGCCAGTTTCATGGCATGTGTAATTCTACTTCACACATCAGCTCTCCTCTTGCTGCCTTGTAAATTCCAGAGGCAAAGCTACATTTCTTTACCACTTTGCCATTACCAGACAGGCCTGGGTTGTTGAGAGGGAACAATGAGCTTAGAAAAGTATGGGTTTGTTCTTAGGTGGTAATTTTTCCCATCGGAAAAGGAATATATTACAGAAAACTTAGAGAATAGCTCTAAAGTTTAGAATAAAGAAGAGCAGCTCCTAACCTGGTCTTTCTGCATGTCAGGATTTGACTGTGAAGTGCTATTGGTGCCCTGCATATTGTCTTCCAGGCTTTTTCTCCTCATACCAGTTGTGTGAGGACTAGGGGAGGCGGGATATCTGGTTTGGGCTTGGATTTGGCTGATGGTATCCTCTGGTCTAGGGAATTCTTGGGGAAGTCTGAACCTGAGCTCCAGCATTGAGCTCACTGCCCGAAGGAGCATGAAGACCTCTGCCTTCCTCCCTGTTCCCCTTACCAACCCAGCACCCTGGAGCCCGGGTGCCAGCGTCTACAGTGCACCTGAAAAGAGTACTCAGATGCCAGCTAGGGCAGGCAGAAGCAGCATCGGCAGGCTGGTGGCCAGGAGCATGGATCTTGTGGAAACATGAGTGGCAGGCACATGGCTCTCTCTTCTTGCTGCCGTACAACCTGAGCTCTTGTTGGAAAGACAGTGATACAGCACACTAGCCATGGGCTGGTCAATCCTACACTTCCTGAGCTGAACATGGAGAATGGGGCAGGAGACATAAGGTCTTGGGACCAAACTGAGCTTCCCAGGACCACCCACAAGAATGTGGGGAGACTTGGGTTCTTCTGTTTCTTCCCAGCACATGCAGAATGGTTCCATTGTCCCCTCCTGCCCTGTGCACCCCATTTGCCTTCTCCCTGCCTCCCTAGGCAGACCCTACTACCCACAGTGGGGGGAAGTGCCTATGATCTGCACTTTCTCTGCTTTCTGCCCACCTGTCTGCCTAACCTGGCCCTAGACTGAGCATTTAATAAAATTGTGGTGGTGGTCTCTGTGTTGCTTTCTCAGTGTTGCCCCCAGCCCCAGGCCACACTCTCAGCTCCTGGCCACATGGGCTGAAAGGTGACTGTAAGGTGGAGGATGAGGGCCTTTCTTTCCTCTCTCCTTCCAGGGAGGGGCCTTCTCCAGATGTGTCAGATAGCATTATCCTAAAATACAGGCCTCTACAGGTGACCCTTTCAGTCTCATGATTCAGCAAGCTTATTGGATGTGACCATGTCAATGGACAGGTGTTGGGGTTTTACCACAGAACCTACATAAGTCCCTGACTACTGAAAAGACAGGCTGCTGGAGTGCAGGGACTTAGTTCCGGCCCATGAGCTTCACCTCATTCACCCAACTGGTGTTGGCTCTTGTGTTTGGCTTTTTGTCAAACCAGCTTTTTCCCTCCCCTTGCACTGGTGACCTCTCAGAGAACCATGACTTAATAAGAATGGGGTCTTGTGCTGCCCTCACATGGGACTTTCCTGCCCCTGCTGTTCAGGTATAAGGGTGTGTCCCAGCTCAGAAGGTGTAAGCCCACCTGAGGTGTAGCCTCACCAGGAAACTGGCCTCCCTCCCTTGGGCCCTAAGTCTCACCTGCTTGTCTGTTCTCCAAGGCATTATGGCCAGTGTTGGCATCTGGGGCTTGCTGGGTGCCCAGAGACTAAAGCAGGTTACCTTTATGAGGCACCTTAGGGCTGCCTGTGGTGATTCTCATGTCTGGGAAATGCATACCTTTCTTAAACTGGCGTTGATCTGAAGTCAGTTTATGTTTCAGGTGTGAGCACTGCCTGTAAAACAACACTGTATGTCAGAGCTGGCATACATAGGCCCAGTCCAAGTGTCTCTGTGTAAGAGACTCTGAGAACCACTGAAACACCATGTGTGCTGCGCCCCCGCCCCCCCCCCCCAAGCAGGACAGCCCTTCATGATTGGTGTGCTCTTCTGGCTTTGTTAGCAAGGTTCAAAGTCACGTTCTTAGCCCATCTCAGCCAAGGAAGTGGGTGTGATCTGCTCATATTGTCTGAGACCTACCTGGCCTCTTCATCTTGTTTTAAATTTTTTGTTTATGTGACCTGCCTCAGATCCTTTTTTCAGGGGAATGATACAGGATTATAAAGTAAAAATACAAGCTTTTAAATGTTTTTATAGTTGCCTGACAAGCACACTGAAGATGAAGGACAAAGGGAGCGGGTAAGCAGGCAGCTGCTGGACCATTATCTCAGTCAGGTCCTAAGGGTCCTGATGGCTTCTTAGCGTAGTACCTTGGTCCAAGCAACTAAGCTTAAACTGTGGGTAAGATCTGAACCCTTGGATTACAAAGTCAATTGTGTGGTCAGGACCAGTCCTTTCTTTTTAAAAAAAAAAAAAAAAAAAAAAATGGGGGGAGAGAGAGATGGCAATGTACCTACCTGTGAACTGCAGTTACAAGCATGTGTCCTAGGAGCCATAAGGGACAGGCAATGCACATTCCCAGGGTACATCCCAGCCCCCTCCCCCAAAGAAATCCACAATGCCACTGCCCCTAGCAGGGGCCCACCATGTTCCAAGGTCTCAGTTCTCAGGGTCTTTGGGTAACATTGAGCCCCAAGTTCTCATCCCTACTGGTTTTTTATTCAACTTGCCGCTATACAGTTTTGGGGAAAGTATTTCAATATTTGGGTTCCCAGGACATTCTACCTCTCAGGACCAAGAGTCAGAGATAGGTGCAAAAGCCAATACAATTCATAGCGAAAACACCAATGCCCAGGAAGGTTACCAACTGACTGGATTTCACAATTCTTTGAAAATCTGACAGTTCAAGCACACTGAGCTCTAAGTCCCACAACAGTTGGGATGAGAGAACTTTCTTCAATCTCAGGACAATGGGCCATAATTTAGCCCAGCCCGTTATTGCCTCAGGCTGGCAGAAAGTGAAATGCAGAGGCCGGGTCAATCAAGCATGGGCAGGAAGGTTTAATCTGTGAATCAGTAACAGTGAGTGGAGTGGCACAGCGATGATCACACACAGATTAAGGGACTGGCTGGGCAAGAAGCGTGTTAGAGGTGTGACCACAGACCCTAGGGACTTTGATGATGTATCTACTTGAGCAAGTCCTCCATGGCCTGGTTCTATGACCAGTCAGGACCCAGGATGAGGACAGAGCCTTGAAGGGCACTTCTATCCAAGGTTGCCAACAACCCACAGTGAAAGGTACCACCTGCTCCTGGCTCTCTCCTGGGCAGCTGAGGTGTTCACCTGCCCTTCCTAGCACCAGCCTGCTACCTGGATAGAGTGGAAAGTAGGCTGCCCTCTGGGCCCACTTGGTCCTTTTCCATGAGGGAGAAGAGAGGCCAACCTTGTGTGAAAGACAGGAACTGCAGCCTCCAGGACAGGGAAGGTACAGATCTGCAACAGGGGCTAGGCTCAGTAGAGGCAGCAACCCCACCCCAGGCCCTCCGAGCCAGGTGAAAACATCCCAAGTAAAAACATCCCAGAACTGCCTTCCCTGACATGAAACTTCAAAAGTACAACTTTTAGTTACTAAAACAAAAAAGGCCTCAGCTACTTTTATTTCCATGTCAAGTTAACTTCTCTTTTGAAAAAGCAAACCAAGCTAACTTGGCATTAGCCAGCCTTATCCTAACCAAGACCTCCTAGATGCTGGACACAGGTGTCTTCCCCAATGTCACCATTAGTCATCCTGAGGCCTTTAATCTCATCAGCCTAGAAGCCCTGGGCCAGAGCACCCACAGGGCAGCTGTAAAGATGGCTTAGTGTACAGGAGACAGCTGAGTCAGCATTGGCTGGCCAGCCCAGGTGCTGCAGAAACATCCTTCTCAAGGCTCTGCCATGGCCACTTGTGCAGACCCCAGAATCTAGAGGCTCAGAAGCTCACAGCAAGGTTTGTGTAAGGTCTTGGAGGAGTCCGGTAGGTAGGCTGAAGCTATGGGGCCAGCTGGTCAGTGCTATGAACTTGGCTTTCCTGCCAGAAACCAGGCAGCATCTCACTGTTGGCACCTTTTCTTCCTTGTCTGTCCATACCCCCACCACCCATCCCAAGCCACCACCATGATTCCCATACCCTGTCCTGAAACTGCACTGAAAAAAGCAGGGGCCACTGGCTGCTGGCATAGTGCTCAGAAAATGGCACGAGGTGCAGAGTACGCAAGAAAACAAAAGCCCACTGGTCACCACTGTGCTAGCCCCTAGTTCTTGGAGATGTTGGGAGGTGGGATCTGTAGGTCAGAGGGCCCCACGCCCCAGATGTCCTGGGCATACTCCATGATGGTCTGGTCACTGGAGAACTTGCCTGCCCAGGCAATGTTCCTGATAACCTTCTTGGTCCACTTCTTGGGGTTCTACAGAGAAAAAGAGATGCTGAGTAATCTCAGGCACAAGACAGACCAAGCTTCCAGAACTTTAGGGCATTCCCAAATGAGCTCTTAGCTCTCACTCTGGGCAGCCTGATGGAAAAGGAGAACATGACAATCATAGCTCACTAAAGAGGAGCTCCAGCTACCAGTAAAGCTACTAAATGACTACGTAGAAGTGCCAGGAGCCTGAAAAGGTCCTGGCCCTGGAAATGCTCCACGTTCCACTAGGGCATAGCCCACAGCATAAAAAAGGAGATACCACCCCATGAGTATTTGCCACAAGGTGGATCCAATTCTCAGGAGAAATGGCCAGGCAGTTTCCTGTCCAGCGGCCCCCAGAGCCTGGCAGTTGCCCCCAAACTTCAGACATGCGTGGAGGGGCTTCCCTGAAAGGGCCACTTTCCTTGAGGCCCAGTTTAAGGGAAGCAAAATTTCCTCTCAAAGCCTAGCCAGTCACCCCATTTTCAAGGTTCCATCCTGTTCTGATGCAGGACTGGACATCAAGAGCTGTCAAGTGCAGGCAATGACAACAACTGCCTAAGGGCAGGGGCCTGAGACTGGCAACAAATCAGATGTACAAATTCCTCAAGACTCATCCAAGAATATGCTTAAACAGTTTGGGAAAATAAACGATCTGAACCAAAATTCTGCAGTCACACCACCATCTCTAGTTTCCCCTCCCACTGCCGTCCTCCAGGGGGTGCACAGGTAGGACACCTAGGAAAAGAAGGGAAGCAGGCACGTCACCCAACTCAGGACTTGGGTCTTCCATGATATCCCCTATGGACTCCCTATGGGCCACACCAAGGCTGGAGTACTAGTCTCAGGTCAGGCACATGCTCCACACAGAAACCTGGGACGCAGGCTCTCTCCTTGGCTGTCACCATTAAGAGGGGAGCTGATAATGCATCCTGCTTTAGAAATTCTTACAGCTACAAGTCCTTCACTCCACCGATACTGAAGCTTTTACCTTTCCAAGAAGGCGTTCACCGTCTTAGACATGCTTTCTGTGTGCACACTGATGACCAGGCCTGTTCCTCCATTTAGGCTGAGCTCTGCACCCATGCCTGCGTGACCATTCCCACACAGGGTAATCAGACTAGGGAAAAGCCTATCTCTGTCCCCTCTGTAGGGGAAACTTGTGCCAGATGGACAGCAGCTTGACCCCAGGAATCAAAAGGCACCAGAGTGGCAGATGAGAGCAGAAAGATGGCTAAAATGGCTCCTGAGTGGAAGATGAGAAAGAAGCACAGGCTGTGGCCAGGTAGCTCAGCTGGTTAGAGCACTGTCCTGATATACCAAGGTTGCAGGTTCCCTTTTGGGTCAGAACACATACAAGAAGTGACTTCTGCCCAAGATGGAGGCACAGGTAGATACACTTTGCCTCCTCGCACAACTGAAAGGACAAATAAAAAAAAAAAAAAGAACCCCAAAACAGACCTGCCATAAAATCGATCTGTATGGAAGTCCAATAAACCAAGGAGCTACAGAAGAAACATCCAGACTGGTTGAAGGGGCGGAGACGGGCAGCCAGGGTGGAGAGGACATGTGGCAAGGCAGTGACAGGTGGACCAGGTGGTCCCACGTGTATGCGAATAAACCGAGAGGAACAGCTGGGGAGTGACTGCGCAATCCAGGGTTCCAGCGCGGGGGGAAAAGAAAGCCTCAAAACCTCTGGAGGTAAAAACCTGTGGGGGTTGCAGTGGCAGGAGAACATCCGAGCCTCACAAGAGAGTCCGTTGGAGAGACCCTCAGGGTCCTAGAATATACACAAACTCATCCACCCAGGAATCAGCATCGGAAGGGCCCAATTTTCTTGTGGACAGCGGGGTAAGGGACTGAAAGCTGCCAGAGAGCTGAGCCAGTGGCATTGTTTCCTCTTGGACCCCTCCGTTACACAACTCAGTGACCTGGGTTGCCCCTCCCTAGCAAATACCTAAGGCTCTACCCCTCTCAATGTAACAGGCAAGCTGAGACAAAGAAATATGGCCCAAGTGAAAGAGCAGATCAAAGTCCAGAAATAGAACTAAACGATGAACAGATAGCCAACCTATCAGATGCACAGTTCAAAACACTGGGAATCTGGATGCCTACTGAATTGGTTGACTATAGTGGCAAAATGGAGGAAAAAATGAAGGCTATGCAAAGTGAAACAAAGAAAAATATACAGGGAGCGAACAATAAAGGGAAGGAAACCAGGACTCAAATCAACAATTGGGAGAAGGAAGAGATAAACATTCAACCAGAACAGAATGAAGAAACAAGAATTCAAAAAAATGAGGAGAGGTGTAGGAACCTCTGGGACAACTTTAAACATTCCAATATCCGAATCATAGAGGTGCCAGAAGGAGAAGAGGAGCAAGAAATTGAAAACTTAATTGAAAAAAATGGAGAAATTCCCCAGTTTGACAAAGGAAGTAGACTTCCAAGAGATCCAAGGAAGCTCAGAGAGTCCCAAAAAAGCTGAAGAACCACACCAAGACACATCATAATTACATTACCCAAGATTAGAGATAAGCAGAGAATCTTAAAAGCAGCAAGAGAAAAGGAGACAGTTCCCTACAAAGGAGCTTCCATAAGACTATTAGTTGATGTCTCAAAAGAAACCTTGCAGGCAAGAAGGGGCTGGCAAGAAGTATTCAAAGTCCTGAAAGACAAGGACCTACATATAAGATTACTCTGTCCAGCAACGCTATCATGTAGAATGGAAGGGCAGATAAAGTGCTTCCCAGATAAGGTAAAGTTAAATAAGTTAGAGGAGTTCATCATCGCCAAGCTCTTATTGTATGAAATGTTAAAGGGACTTATCTAAGAAAAAGATAAAAAACTATGAACAGTAAAATGACAACAAACTCACATCTATCAATAACTGAACCAAAACCAAAAGCAAAAAAACTAAGCAAACAACTAGAACAGGAACAGAATCATACAAAAGGAGATCAGAGGCGAGGGGGAAGAGGAATAATGGAGGAAAAGGTACAGGGAATAAGCAGCATAAATAGTAGGTGCAAAATAGGCAGGGGGAGGTAAAGAATAGTATAGGAAATGGAGAGCCAAAGAACTTAAACGTATGACCCATGGACATGAACTAAGAGGGGAAATGCTGGGGGGAGGGGTGCTACAGGGTGTTGGGGCAATAAAGGGGAGAAAAAAATGGGACAACTGTAATGACATAATAAAATATATATTAAAAAAATAGAGATACAATGAGAGACATTAAGATGGCAGAGTGAATGGGAGTCACTCTGACTTCCTCCCCACAAGACCAAACTGAAACGGTGACTAAATAGTGGAGTGATCACCTGGAAAACTGGAACGATAATGGGAGAGGAGCCTTGGAGCCGCCGATAGTGGATTCGACTCACATCCCAAGGAATGAGAAGTGCGGTGGAGGCTCGAGAGGGGGTGGGCTGGGTGCCCACGGACACTAGCACCAGAGGGACATTGAAACGGCCAGTTAGATCCCCCCGAGAAGAACAGGGTCTGAATCATAAACAGAGACCCCTAAACTACAGCAGCTGAAACCAAGAAAATACAGGCAAAATGCAACCCCGAAAAGCTTAGGGGCGCTCTCCGCCAGAGACAGGTGGCTGGGGATGCAAAGAGACATTTAAAGGGCCAATGCAAAAATTGCAGTGGCAGCCACCCTCCTTGATCTCTGGGTAGAGGTGGCAGCAGGCTGGGCAGGTGCCTGGGAAAAGACTGGTGTGGAAAACTTTGTGAAGAGAACTGAGACGGCGGCCGGTGGAGCTCCGGTGATAATGCACCTCCCCCTCTGCAGCTACCATCTCGCTCAGGCATAAGGGGATCAATTAACCTGCCTTTTGTGCGTTCCACACACAGCTTGTGCGTGTGAGCTGGGGGGCTGAGTGCAGACTGGCTGTGAGAGCATTGAGAGACTGGAGACGGAGGCGTTGGGGAAAGAACAGGAGGAGGAACCGGGGAGTCCAGACTCCCTCCCCGTTCTGTAGTCTCCATTGTGGGCTGGAAAGGCGCGCCCCCACAGAGGCGGAAGCAGGGCGCGCATGAACCAGACTGTCCGCGATTGAAACACAGTCCGCACAGGGGGTGGATACTTAGCCGAAGAGGTCACGGAACTGCCCAGAGACCTCTGAGGAGAGACTGGACACAGAGGCATTGGGGAAAGAACAGGAGGAGGAACCCGGGAGTCCGGACTCCTTCTTTCCGTAGTCTCCATTGTATGGGAAGAGGCCACACCCCCAAAGAGCCAAAAGCCGAAAAGCACACAAACACCCCAAAACCACCCAGTGCAGGTGCGCACACTAGTGCTGAGTAGCCGGCAAGGGTTGGCGAGCGTGTGTGTGACCCGCGTGGGCTGGCAAGGGCTCGCACTGGGTGGCAAGGCCTCCCACAGATTGGAACCGATATGGCCTGGGAGGGAGTGCGCAGAGTGGCAAGGGCAGGTGGAAATTGGCCCGCCCAGCCCGCGATTGCGGAGCGGCTCACAGAACTAGTAGATCCCGGGCTGACGGGGTCACAGAGCTGCCCAGAGTCCCTGGAGGAGAGACCGGAGACAGGATTAACCGGAGAGTCCTGGAGCTGACTTCCTCTCATTTCCATAGTCTCCATTTGGCGAGGGCAAGCAACGCACCCAAAGAGCCAAAAGCAGGGAAAACACACAATAGAAGACCCTAAACTGACCAGTGCTGGGGTGCCCGCCAGCCAGCGGGGACAGATGAGTACGCAAGGTAGCGAATAAGCCCCCTGGTCTGGGGCAAGCACGCCCTGGCAGGTGGGGAATCCTGTGACGCGGGGGAGCACACTCAAGGAGCTCACGTGAGAGTGCAGAGCGAACCAAAAAAATAGTCCATCCCTGACCAAAGGGGTCACAGAGTTGCCCCAAGCAGAAGTCAGACACAGACAGTAGACTCCTGGAAGGCTCAAACAAACAACCCAGGGTCATATAGGGTCAACAACTGACATCATCAGAGGCAGGCCCAGAAAGAAAAGTAAAGGGGAAAACA